TTCGTGAATCTATTATATTTGTCTGAAAACATAATTTAGGGTGACATCTTAGCTCCTCATGATGATGAGATCCCTAATTTTCTTGATGATGCTGATGAGTTGAGACAGTGATCTTGAAAATGTCAATTATATTTAAATATAAGATTGATGTCTTTAAAGGAATTGTAGAGAACATTATATTGACATGAAGATACTTCGTTAATTATTCAAACAAAGATTAAGACCTTTTGCCAATGACTCCATCGCTTCACTTCACCCTTCCATCACATCTCATCAATCCACCTATTATGCCTCTCCCAATTGGTACGAGTGACATGGAGGCCATCTATCACCATCATATTTACCACTTTTTATTTTATTTTATTATTATACGAATCAATTTTGCATTAAACTTGGAAACGACATTTTTAACCATGAATCTTCCTTTATTTGTCAGGAACCAATTTATACTTAATGCCTCTCTCGTTAAACGAAATATCACAACAACAAAAGCATGCAAAAGTATCGCATGAAGGAAACCAATAGCTTTTTCCCATTATAACAAATAAAATAAACCAAATTATCAATATGCCTCTGTGTGTGTGTGTGTGTGAAGACATCAATAGATTAAAATGTATTCCAAGTTATACTATTTACAATTAATCCATAAATACTGTAATTTCTTTTCCAGGTTATGTGGAAAACTGGAATGCAATTAATTTTGACTCCATCTAACTCAGTCCTCCTAAATGTTGGATGTTTAATCCATTGATGCCTACACTCCATGACTTGATCAGTACCCAATCCCTATTGAATCAAATTATTTTTTGAAAGTAACGAAACTAACAGATCAAACGGCTAGAACTTGAGAGATTGGATTAGATGAGTTAAACTTTAAGGATTAAGTTGTAACTTAGTTGAAACCACATTGACTAAATGACTAATCTTTTGAAAACAAAACATCTATGTATGTAGTTATATGAATTAATAAGAGTGCTAGTTAAATAAGGTAAAAGGGAATTGCTACCTCTTAATTAAACGAGTTCATGGATTTTTTTTAGGAAAAAGAGTTCATGGATTCAAATTTCAAACCTTGTAACAACAAAACTAATGTAAGACTCGAATTTGACCTCCTACTACTGAAAAATGAAAACCAAATAGTTATTAAAATGTTATATTTAAATATATAGGAATTGAGATTTGGATTTATATTTAAATCAAATTTCTTATTTGAATACATAAAAGTTATGAATAAATCCATATTTCGATATAAATTTTTCATAATTTTAAATTTTTTCAAAACCCTAGTTAATTACTTAAAATTTTAACTGCTCCAATCTTTTTATTTTTTTCACATTTTTATTATCAATGTTTCTATCGCTTTCATCTCTCTTCTCTTTTCTCATCCTTGTTTCTCAAAAATTTTTAAAAAAATAAATGTAAGCTTGTCACTTTTCATTTTTTATTTTTTACTTCAAAACTCAGCCCGCATCTTTTTTATTGTCAAAATGTTTTATTATGAGATTTTACATATGAGATTTAAAATTTAACATTTAAAATTTAAAATTCATTAATTCAAACACTATCGTAAAGTTAATTAAGAATCTCTTGGCAAGAGAAAACAATGGGCGAAGCCGGGAAGGAAGGGCAAAAGTAGAAGAAGAAGGTCGCTTTCTAAAGGAGACATGAATTTGGGGTGTGGCGTGATGAACTTGGTGTCCAGTGTTAAATGGGTTGGACCGCAAACATGCTTTCCGCATAAGTGTTACGACACCTCCATTTCATGTATCATGTTCATGCCCCCTCCGTTACCACGTCTCAATTATTATGCTCCATATCTTCACATTCACACATTCATGCTACTCTCTTTCATCCTCTTTGTTCATACATGCCACATTTCATCCTCTTCTTTATTTATCCAGAATCTACAATGCGTTATAAGAACAAATTAATAAGCCTTATTTTATTAAATAAAATTAACTACATGAATTATACAATGCCATCATATTTTCTATTAACGGCCAAGCATTTGAGTATGTTATTAACTAAAAAAATCTCCTTCAATAACATCCCTCTATATACATTGTCTTTGATTTTTCTATGCTTCTCTTTATAAAGCCTGAGATTATTTGTTTCATTCTCGTCAAAAGTACTTCCCAGTTCCCACGACTTTCTCTATATATGTTGGGTCCCCTTGGAATTTGGTGAGATGATCAGTTAGTAAGTTAAAGTTTGGCTCATTACTAATGATGAATAAATGATAGCACTATAGTTGCGGCATGCATTTAGGTAGCTGTTAGGAAAGGGAGATTCCCTTCCCTTCCCTCCTTGAACACATGTTTTTGGCTACCCAATTAAAGTCGCTCTCTTCTTGGAAGCCCTCTTCCAAAAACCCAGAAGAATACCTCTTCCCACGGTGCCTTTACCCACTTTACCCTCCACTTTTTTATAAGTCACTTTTAACATTATTTTACCAGTATCAAAAAAAGTCTTAAAATTTAATAAGTTTTTAATTTTTTTATTAAATATACATACTTTAATAATGTATTTTTTCTCTCCAACATTCAATAGAGGATAAAAGAAAAAATTTGTAATAAAAATTTAATAATGTGACTTATAAATAGGATTAAAAAAAATTTCTCTCTTTACCTTATAAATAGGATTAGAGAAGTACCTCCTTTGTCCTCTGATTTTTTCTTCTTTCATATAGCAATGATATGTAAATGGATGTCATTTTTTAATCTGTTTATAAATCTCAATTTTTTAAAATAAAGTAATTTTTTATTATATTTTAATCAATAGCCCAACTCAATTAAAATAATCACTTCCTATAATAGTTATTGAGGATAAATATATCAATTTATTAACAAAATTAAAATGTCAAACAAGTCGTTAAGGACTGAAAAATAATTATCACATTCTGTAATACTTAATTGTCGTTTGCATATTTCATGAATATTTTTTTGTCATTTCCCATTTTTCTTTATCTTCTTTAATTATTTCGATGAATTGATTAATTTCATAATCTTGTGAACAGATATTCCTTTGATTATATAATATGTTAAATGCCATATTAAAAAAATTAAAAAAGGACTGTTGATTTAATGACAAAAATCTAAAGCCAGAGGTTTCAAATTTGAGTTATCAAAATGCAGTTTAAATATTTAGTAGAAGAGCCTTGTCACTATTTGCAGTCATACTCAAGTTAATTCGAATAATAACTTTGAATGACGCTACCTTCAGGGTTCAAGCTGTAATGGAATAGGTCTAAAATACACAGAAATTAATCAAATTAAAAATAAAGAAATGTTTTAATTCACAACCAAACACTTGAACGGATCTTGAGTTGGATAGAAAGAAAAAAGATAGTTTAACCCGACACGTATGCTAGTGCTGGATTGTTTGGTATAAGATGAAGGAGCTGGAAAGAAGAAGACAAAGTCCATAATCAGAGCAATGGCTCGTGAGGTGTTTGCATGGACCCATCTGCTTAGCTAGAAAGAAAGGAATATGATGACCTCTCTGTACTGTACCACAGCAAATCCTTATCAAACGACAAAATGCTAGCTCTCCTTCTCAACAACAAAACCCACTTCCGTTTGCCTTCCTTTCATTTGTTTCTCAGAAGAGAAAAATACAAATTATTAAATTAACAGATCAGGATATGAGGGCTAGGCTAGCATACCAACCAACACCTTAATTTTGTTGCTCCTCATTGTGCCATTCTTATTCATTAGTACACAACAAGGAAACCAACATTTATACCTAATCCACTATACAACACATTATTCGATTTAAGAAAAATTATTTAAATCAATTATTTTTTAAAAAATCAAACTTTGTCCAAAAACATATCTTTACGAAGAGGTTTGTGGGCCACATATATTAAGGTTTAGCAATTGAATCCACAATTAATCATTATGAAGGATATATTTAAAAATAATTAATAATTAAAGCTTCATATATTTTGTAAAAGTACTTATGTTATTAAAAGTTATGAAAAACTTCTACAAAGAGTCTTATAAATAATACTAGAGGAGCGATAACAAGTCTAATTAATTATTCATCCTCGTCCTTCTCTTTTGTACTTCTTGTATATGAATACATTAGTGTTTAGAAAGGGAAATTATTAGATTTCAAATTTAAATGCGAGGTATTAATATTGGAATTAAAATGTAATAATTTTTATCACAAATGGTTGTTGAATATAAAACTAAAAAAAGAGGCCGTTGGCTATTGATATTAAACCATTACGCAGAAATTATGAATTAACTGTCGCCTTTGAAACGAATAATCATGTATTATAATAATAACAAAAATAAGGTGACAATGCAATTTCAAAACAAGCTAACTTCCATCCTCAGTCCCTAATATTTTTCCTTCGGCCAAAAAAAAATCCTTAATTTTTTTTCCACTGGGCTGGCTTCATATCAGCCATGATCCAGCCAAGCGCTCACAAACTATTCTGTATTTTCACTAATTTTTTGACACTTTATTGGACCTAAAATTCTAGAACTCAATTAGATTACGTACAAAAAAATTAAGCGAGCAAGAATAAAATATTATGGTGATGAGAAATGAATTTACAAAGGGCAAAACAAAAAAAAAAACCAAGGAAGAAAGGTAAGAATGTAAAATGAAAAGAAAAGAAAGAAACTGACAAAGAAATTATACTAACTTAACCTGAAGTCACAAGTCCAAGTTTTAGAAATGCAACGACTTTGGTCACAGAACTCTCACTCAAAAGAATTTTGATTTGGCTTGAACTGAATTAGTCTGAACTTCTGTTAAAGCTCTCCCAACTTGAGACAGGTTTTAAAATACCTGGTGCTATGCGGAGAAAAGAAAAGAAAAGAAAAGAAATGAAGATACGTATGAGAGGGAAAAGCATCCCAGGCCCACCAAAGAGCGAAAAGAAACAAAAGAAGTAACAACTGGGCTTTTGCCTTAGCTGTTCCTAGTACAGTGGGCCCTCCTCGTGTTCATGATGCCTCCTCCTCTCTTTATAATCCCCCAAGCCGGTCTTCGACTTCTCTCATCACACCTCTCAAGTTCAACAATATCCATGGCCAAATTCGGAAAGCTAACCAAGCTCAAGTCCGCCATCAAGCGCTGGCCCTCCTTCCCCAAGCTCGGCCGCTCCGCCGCCTGCCACGACCATGTTGACAGGCTCTCCACCACCGATCGTAATGATAAGGAGCAGCTACATGTGGTCTGCGTTGGGAAGTCGCGGCGAAGGTACCTCGTCAGCTCCGACGTTGTCAACCACCCCGTGTTTCAGGAGCTGGTGGATCGCTTGCCGTCGTCACAGGAAGATGGGGCGGTGGTGGTTGCGTGTGAGGTGGTGCTGTTCGAGCACTTGCTGTGGATGCTTGAAAACGCCGAGACACAAATGGGGTCCATGGACGAGCTGGCTGAGTTCTACACCTGCGCAAGCTGATATACATGTCGATCACTTTAATTATTCGGATTAATTACGTGAGTTATGTCCAGATTATAGGTAGGGTTTTGGTTACCAGAAAAGAATTGTTTTAGGTATGGATTTTTGTGTTTTAACTTTTACCTCCGTTAAACTCTCTTGTTCAAAAATAATGCATGGTAGACAAAGTGAGGATTTATTTATTATACAAATAGTTGATAATTCTGTCCAAGAAATTGTAATCAGAGAGTATGTAGGACTAGTAATTGTATGTTCACCGACACAATGAATTTTTTAATGAAAGTGATTATTGAGGTTGAAATCAATTATTGTGCTCGGTTTCATTCATTGAAAGGAAGATACGCAACGTCTAGTTATTTTTATATTAAATTTTATACTATCTATTAAAATAAAAAAAATTAAGATATAAGGATAAACTATCATTAAATTTAAACCGTCTCATTTTGAACTAACAAATGTAAATATAAAAGGTAAGATAAGCCTCTATATATGCTGACCCTGAGTCCACTTCCGGCTAGGACCGACCCTTTTAATAAGCCATTTTACAATTTTTTTAAAAAAAATTAATATTAAAAAATAAATATTATATTAATTTTCAAACCTTAATCTCATTTCATGAGAATAAAAAGCAATAAATGAAAAGGCTTAATATATTTGCTATTTGAGGCTCTATGAGGAGGATGATGAAATTATATTAATGTTAATGACAGTAAAAATCATTAAAATTTAACTAATAATACTAGCAAAATTTAATTATTATCTGTGTTGATTTTGTAATATCATTATTCTTTGTTAGACTTAAATTTGTTATTATGTGTATTGACTTAAATTTATTTTTTTATACTTAATATTATGTGTAATAACTTTTTTAAAATTTTAAAAAATATTTTTTAGATTTTTAAATTGAAAAATGAAAAAAAAATACAGGGCTAGGGCTGACCTGACCAAAATGAAACTTTGGAGTATAATCAGTTTTAACATAGTCAACCCATTTAAGCCTTAACCTTTTAAAAATCGACCCTTAAAATCTAATTGACAGTTCTACAAAAATACACTCTCCGAGATGGATTTTTTTTTTTTTGCCACAGCACTCGAATGTAGATTCATGTGATGTTTTCTAGCAATTACTCTTTAAATCCCTGTATATAAAGTATTTTTTTTAAAAGTTTATTGTATCCCAAAATATAAGAAGTACCATAATATTTTTGAGTAATTAAATAATTTTGCCCTTGTCTTGAAAAAAGAAAAAAGATATTACTTGTATGATTTAATTTACCCATTGTCACCATAATATTAATGGACATTATTAAGAGAAAAAATTTAAAAATTATTGTGATTTAATAAAATTTTAACTAAATAATGAATTGTTATTATGTGTGATTCAATTAAAAATACTTTATATATAAAGATAGAGGGAGTATTTGTCTTTACTATGTTCTTTTACCAGTCTTTTCTTTCCTTTGTATTGTAATTAATATATATTTAGTTTTTTATAAGTATAAGGAGAATAAGGCTTCCAATAATAAATAATATCTGTCCCAAAATATTGAGAATAATTGGTAGATCTCTGTCAATTAAATTGCTATATTCAATTTTTTTTCCATCATATATATTTAGTTTAAATAGAGGAAAAAAATGAGAGTGAAATATACAAAAAAATATTAGGAGGAAAAAACATCAGTCATGGTATTCTTTTGAGAGTGACAATTAAGGATCTTCTAAGAACATTAATCTCAATTATGAACCGTAAATCTCAGTTAAGGACCATGGTCTTTAATTGTGATAAAAAAATATAGTTTGTGAAAATATATATATAAAACTTCACTTGAAAATTAATTATTTAACAAAAAGCGTCACTTGAGAATTCAATAACTCAACTTGAAAAAATTTCTAACGTATATTGTGAAAACATAAAACTTCACTTAGGAATCAATTGTTTAATAAAAAGACATCAATTTGGACAAGTCACTTTTTATTAATGATTCTCAAGTAGAGTTTTATTTTTTTACAATATACGTTAGACATTTTTTAAAATCTAATTAGTGAATTCTCAAGTGGCGCTTTTTGTTAAACATTCCATTTTTAAGTGGGATTTCATATTTTCACAATATACATTAATAATTTTCTCAAGTTGGTTTAGTGAATTTTCAAGTTGCGTTAGTAAATCCAACCTCACAAATTATATTTTTTATCACAATTAAAGACCATGGTCCTTAACTGAGATTTCAAGATTTCACGATCTGTAATTGAGGTTAATATTCTTAGAAGGTCCTTAATTGTTATTCTCCTTATTCTTTTCTCACCCTAGTTTTCTTCTCATTTAAATTAAAACTACGTGAAATTCAAATAAATATAAGAAAATTCTGCAGTCAAATTTGTTGACAGTAAGAAATTGATCACGGAAATAATTTGATATTGTAGCTATATATGGGAGTTGAACTAAAATCAAAGATACTATACCATAGCCAGGATGTCATGTCAAATGCAAGTGGATTTAACATTGATGCATGAATAAGTGAAGGAACCTATTAATTTTGGTTTAATAGAAAATATTTGAAGATGTATAAATTCTTATACAGTCCCTCTAATAATCTTAAATATACAGTATGACCTGGTTAACTATTTTGTAGAGATTGAAAAAACTGATTAAATTATATATTTATTATTATTGTGTAAAAAATGTGTATTACTTATTCTTAAAGACCCTTCTTTTAATGATAATATATTAAAAATGACAGACAATGAAAAAACTGAAAATAATAAGAATACATTAAGGAAAAAAGTATTAAGTGATGATAGAAAATTGAAATTTTATATTTAAGATCAAAACAAATCTTTCAATAGCCAACACTCAACAGACATGCAATGTCATTATTAGTTTAATTTTTGCCATGATCAGGTTTATCAGTCCTATAATATTATTAAGAGATTATTTGATCAAAACAAATCGACTTGTGGTTAAGAATGGAAGTCGCGAAGGATGGGACATTATCAATGCTGGTGTTGTTTATGATAAAACATGTTGCTTTGGATTATGGCCGAAGAATTATTTAATCCACTACTAATTGTTGCTTAGTTCATTCATTAGAAACTGTGCACGTGAATATTTATTTAATTGATCAAACTCAATATTCAGATATACGGGACTAGTGCGTGTGTGTGTGGCCAACGTATATGGGACTAGTATATTATGCGTGCTTGACCGTACTTTTGTATATGTAATAGGAAATGTCCATAAAAAGGAAAATTGAGGGAAATAATAAGTCACATAAAAAGGAAAATTGAGGGAAATAATAAGTCAATAACGACAGGTAGAATAATTAATTTCTTGTATTAAATTTTCGCACTGAATATTAAATTAATGAATTTAATGTCGTTGTTTACAAATGACTCACTTTTTACCTTTCTTTCGAAATTATTTCAGGAAAAAATCGAATAAAAATCTCGAGTCTGTAAAATCTACAGTGACGAACGCGGTGACGATCAGAATTCATAAAACTTACAACAAAGCTCTCTTGAAATTAATTTCAGAAACTTGTTAAGATTTTTTTTTGGGGGGGGGAGTGATTTTTCCATAATTTTAGCAAATAAATAAATAAAAGCATAACAGTCAAGTTGGTCCTCCTTTGGCTTATGAAACATGATTTGGCGGTTAGAGGGGATCATATTTTTTTTTAATATTTGAATTTAATGTTCACAATATCCCCATAATGAATTTAAGAGTAGTTTAAAATAAATGATTCAAACATTTTTGGATCGAATCTGATAGAAATATATTCTGATTTGGGGGGGAAGAAACCTGGGGCGTTGCCCACAGTTTGAATTGTAAGTTTAGTTGGTATGCTATGATCATATGAGAAGACAAAGGTTGACACCTGACAGGATTGCGATCGTGTATTTTTTTTTTAAAAAAAAGTGAATAAATACACCGATAAACACAAAAAAAAAAAAAGAGGGGGCAGGAGAGCAGTCGACTTCATACAAATTCAATTTCACTTTTTCTTCTATTTGACTTATATTTTATTATATATTCAATCAACAGGATTAAACTTTATATGAATGGTTTATTTTTTTAATTTTTAATTTAGAGAATAGGAGTTTAAGATTACATGTGAGATTGAACCTGTGATTTTCTGTTTACAAGATCATTAGATTATAAAGAATATAAAACTAAGCCAATGACAACATCACCACCTTCCGAGCTCAATGTTCAAGATTTAAGCCATATATTAGCATGTTAGAGCATGAGTTGTAAATATTAAATTAAACTGATTATTTAAGAAATACAAGGAAGAATACAAAACTGATAGCTGTTGCCAGACTTGTCTTGCTTCTTGAAGCGAACAACATAGATATACACAAAACAAACTGCATTGAGGACGAGTCCAAGTTTCTTAGTGGGCCCAATGAAAGGAAAGTTTCATTCAGGTGTCCCCAAATGTCAAGCTTGGGCTTAGGCCCTCCCCTTCCAACCACATACGATCCACTGTAATCTGACCCCCTCCCCCCCTTGTTTTTGCCACCAGTGTGATCAACAAGGAGTACAACATATTAAAATTCAAAGATAAATAGTTCAAACTTGTAAGGATATAAATATATAAAAAAAACTAAAACTTATAATTTTTTTCCCCCAAAACGAGGAATGTATATTTGCCGCTGACGACCATGGGGCTCCACCACTGTTCTTGGGATGTGCCCCGCTTCTTTTTGGCATTTAAATAATCGTTGCTCTCATCGATAGAAACTCCTGGCGCCCAAAATGGAACAGCATAACCAAATTTATTCACAAGAGCAATCTGATGGATCGCCAAAGAAATAGTATAAAGAAATGACGCTCTGAAGCCGTCACTTATAAAATACACGCATTGCAACAATGAAAATATCATCTGCATTTACAATAAGATCATAGAAATCCAAATGAATATCACAATCATATCGGCGCGGAAGGAAATGAATGAGAAAGAGAGAGAAAGGACACTGATATATCTAAATCTAAGGGAACTAGAGGACACCGAATTTTTTAAACAAGTGAAGAAAGAGTGGAGGAGGACGTGGCCGAATTGATGTCGTAGTGGAATATTTGAGGAAGCAGAGTTCAAAATCGTGAGGTTCAGACAGGATTCTGAGAACTCCATCATTATAAAACCCTAATTCCTCGGCTGATTTGGAGAGAAGCTCGCAGAAACGCGCGTCCCTGAGAGCCTTCGTCTCAACCATAAATCTCCTGCTGCTTTCTTCGTCCATGCCAACCTTCACTGGTACGTAACCCTTTCGTCCCAATTTTGCCCCTCCCAAACACTTATAATACCCACCCACGCATTTCACCACCTCACTCCCTGTTATCCCCATCTTTCTCCAACACCAACCAACACTACACAACACCTTCTTACTCTGATCTATCTCTGTTCTTCAATCTATATATATGTATATGTATATATGTCGTACGTTTGTCAGAGAGAATCTGGACGTCGTAACGGCGAAGTTGGATATGTCGGGTTCTGCTGAGTGTTGGTCTATGCTTGATGTGGTTCTTTTTTTTCCTGCCCTGGCAAGTTTACCTCGTAATTAAATTTGACCAATCCCGGTGGACATAGAATATGAATTGGTCAAATTGTTTTCTGAACGTCTTGTCTTTTTCTTCTGCGCATTCTCTCCAAATCCAAATAGAATCAACCAGCTCATGGGATTTTCTTTGCTCTTTTCTCATGCTTGACTCCTCGTTCTGTCTCTTCTGCATTGGATTTGCCGTACGGAATAAAATTGTCACCCAGAATGCTCTCACGATCAATAAGTTGCGGACTTTAGTTTGAAGTTTATTTTACACTTGAGAAATTTCTTCGTTTTTTCTTATGCCAATGATCTCTCTCTCTCTCTCTCACGCACCCAAACAAGGTCTGGTTGATACTGTGCTCAATTTCTATCTCGTTTTATCTTTTCAAAAATAGAATTTCTTAATTATAAGAAACAATCCTTTGTGTTTATCAAAATTAATTTGATGAGGTTTTTATTAATATCAATGCTTAACTAATAATATATCTTTTATAATTAATTAATTAATCACGTTTGGTACTTCCTTTCCCGGTCATACCAGATCATTTTGGTTGTTTGTCTTAATAAAAGCTTTTAGCTATATTTTTAATTTATTTAACTAAATAATTCAATTAAAAAATAACTGCTATAGCCATGACATGAACTCGACATCTCAGTTAAGAGGAGTCAATTCTCTAGTCAGTTAATCCAAACGCGCGCTGATAACTGAACTCAAATAAATATGTACTGCACTATCGCATGACAGGTTTCTTTGGGTACAACTTTCGCATAACCTGGGTTTTTTTTTTTGGGTTATTTTAGTATGAATGCTGATATAGAGAAAAATAGATTAGCCTGTAGCCCAACCCCATCTAAGAATTGATTGGCCCATGCGAGTGTTCTTGGGCCCCCAGCTTTTCGCTTCACTAGAAAACGGCGCCGTTTTCAATTACATTTCCTGTAGCTCATGTGCTACCGTTTCAGCGGTCACAGTGACGGTGGCGCTGACCCAACCCAGTGCTTCGGTGGAGTGACTGGAGTCGGAATGAGTTTCCTGCTTATCCTCCTTAGGATAAAATCTGGATCATCCGGGTAAAAAATTTAGATAATTCAAATTTAAAGTATTATTATATTATTATATATTATATTGATTAAAATAAAAATTTATAAGATAATTTTAATAAATACTTTATTTTTAATCTAAGCTAGATTTAATTTAATATTAAAATTTTTATAATTAATGTATATTAATTATCCAGATTTATTTTGCATAATTCAAGACTATGCAGAAATAATCAGTATACATTAATTATAAAAATTTTAATATTAAATCAAACCTACTAAATTAAATTTAGACCAGGCTAAAAATAAAAAACTTGTTAAAATTATTCTATAATTTTTATAAATTTTTATTTTAATAAGTATAATATATAATAATATATTAAATTTGGACCATCTAAATTAAAATTTGAATGGTTCAGATCTCATATCAAGGTTAAGCATTATGTGCTTATCCATGAGATGAGCATGGAAATTGGTCCTGAGTCACCTCAAGTTGCTTCATGTTAATTATAATTAATTAATACAATTTGATTTGGTTCAAAGTTTTCATAATTTAAGCTTTTTATTGAATCTCTATTTAATATTTTATTCATTATAATTAATTACTTTAAAATAATCTTGCCTTTATCCGGATGCAGTTCTTTTCAAACCACAGTTGATACTAAATATAAACATTTCTTTTTACAATACTCATTCATTTCAAGGAACTAGCTTCTATTAATTAGCTAAACTCAATACATCCTAGCAATATCACTTATATATTGCTAATTTATTATAAGAAACTAGATTGAACCCAAAGGCACAAATTAAGGAAGATATTTTTAAAAAGCGTGATACACATGTAAAGTGTGTAAACCTTTCCGGTGCGATTCTCTCAAGTTATGGACAATAGACGATATAAAAAAGATATTAGCTCAAATAAATCAGAACTTATGGACAGGACTGGATGGGTTGCTTTAAAATGGGAGGGACTTGGCCGAAAAAAGAAAGACAGTGGAAGGGAAATATTCACAATCAACACACAACAACTAGCAGAATTTGTTGGACCATCAAGCTAAAATGAAAGCATATACATGCATGTTGATGTTGAAGAGAGATTAATTAATTAATTTTGAATTGCGAAAGGGATATATGAACAGATGTGCAAGCTGGTTAATTATAAGACGCTTTTGTGACCCACTAAGCCACTTGGCCCCCCAATGTTTACCGTTTTTAATTCGCTGCAACTTGTTTGGCTACTTTCCACACCTTTCCTCTTCTTTTTTTTTCATACTCTTCTCTCTACTAAAGCTTATGGCCGCATCTTAGCACGTTTATATATATGTAATTTCCTTCTTAAGAATACATGTAAGCAAATTCCAATTTAGTTTTTTTTTTTTTCCCTTTTTATGTATATCTGATACTACTGAGTGCACGGGTGGCCCTACGTTGAGTTTCGGGGGATGCACCCCTAAACTTGAAAAAAATTATAAAACAGGGTCATGTATTTTACTACTTTGCATACCCTTGTCCAAATACCTTGCACTCCTTAGTCCAACTTTGAGGATATTTAGGGTCTGAAAAAAATTTAATTCAACCAAAAAAAATTAATTCAAAATTTTGATAATGAAAGATCAATTGAATTTGTAAAGTTCTATCCATGTGAGTTTTCTTCCTGAAGATTGATAATCAGCTTGAGATTTACATCATTAATATGCGAAGCAATACTGAATTTGAATCATTAAAAGGAATTTATAATCTTGCAAAAAAAAAATTGTTTGAAACAAGAAGACATATAGTTTATCCTTTAGTTTATACTTTCTCAAGATTGGCAATACTGATTACATAGTAAGAGTCTTTTTTGTTGTGAAATTTATAAAAAAAAAAAATAGGTTGTAGAATCATATAGGAGATCTATTGATAAATAATTATCTAATAATTTATATTGAAAAAGATTTTTTTTAACATTAACAATAAGGTGATTGTTCAATAATTTCAGAATATGAAGCCATGTGTAACAATAAAGTATGTGCCTGCTATTTAAAAAAAAAATAAATTATTTTTAAATTTATTAATTTTAAAAATATTGCACCCTCACCCGGGCATTGGCACCGTGATTGACTCGGTGTACTGAGTATATGTTGCTTATTTGATACCACATACACAGATATTTACATTGAATGGAGTAGGACTATTGGCAGAATCGTAGTGAAATGACGATGACAAGTTGGTATAACAGGGAAATTACTGTTTCCGTTGCTGGCAATATAAATATATATATGTGTGTATATCAAGATCCATTTATCCTGCCAAGGAATGAACATAAATACATGGTTGTCAAAAACTTGTCTGATAGTTGCACTATGTAATACGTATGCATAGAACTTTACAGAATTTGCTGGATCCCAAAAGATAACCGGTCAAAGCATACAAGAACGATCAAGTTGATCAGTTTTATTTTATTAATTTTCAACCCTGAAAGAGACACATGAATTGATGGCCACTCTTCATGTGACCCTGAAGGCTCTCATGCCACTCGACACTTTGTTATTCACTATACATTCTTCCTGCAACTTGTTGCCTAGCAAGTTTCTATTTCTGAAAGTTTGTGTCACGGCCCTCTTGGGACCATACTTTAAAATACGTACGTACGTATCGTAGCTGCAATATCCTTTTTAGGTTGTATAATTTTTAACAAATTTGGACTGTCTAAATCCAATGTTTACCTTGCATCTCATTTTTTTTAATTTCTCGCACACCCGGTATTTTAGGCCACTCCACGTCAAGTTGAAAGGATTTAATAAGAACTCAAATTAATCTGAGTCCAGCATTGACAAACCTTTTCAGATAGTGGGTTTTGCCATTTATATTAACACTGCTAGATGAATTAAAAATATATACAAAATTAACAAATTAATTAAACACCTCATCTCTCATAATCGTCACGTCAAACTTTTAAGAAAAGAATCAGTATTTTTTTTTTGAAGAGCAAGATAAAGTTTTAATAAAAAAAATCCACAACTTGAAGAACATTGATCTAAATAAAATTTGTATTTGTTTGTTTAATTTGAGGAATTATGTATGTGTTTGTGGGAATCACATTAAACTAATTAGATAAATTTCCTAATATGCAGTAAACAAAGACTTGACAGAATGATGATTTGCATTATATATATTCATAATTTGTGAATCGTGTAGCTGAAATTATATGGATATGCCTTATTGATTTTGGGACGAGACTATATGGATGAAATAGCCATTGAAAAGGACATCAAATCTGGAAATATATACCAATATACATACGCAAGTTGATGGGGGTGATATTGAAAAATTCAAATATATAACATGTGAAGGTGGAAATGAATGCATTGAAATGAAAGTTAAGGGAGGGACCCATGGATATTTGGTGTAATAATGAAGATGGGCATATATATGCATTTGCTCACTCCCACCCACTCACACACACACACAGACACACACACGACCCCAGAGTGCATTTTGTCTACACCAAAAGCCACAAAATGATTAATTTTGTGGACAAAATTGGCTTTTGTGCCTATCCACTTTTCATCTCTTAGTTTGTTTAATTTAAGAAAAATGACAATAATTTTTTTTAAATTATTATAAATTATAATACAATCTCTTGAAACTATAATTTAACTGAAATTTTTAAAAACTTTTATGTTAATAAATTTTAAATTAAAAAATTATTTTATTTTTATTAAAAATAACAAATGTTAATTATAACGTTTACTGATCTAACGATGTGTTTTATTTCA